ATTCTCTATTTTTTTTCCTAGATAGCTAGCATTCTAAAAGTTAAGGCCTGGAATTCTGTTTGAAATTACCCAGCTAGGCTGGATGCGGCACGCCTTTGAACCCAACACTTTGGGAGGCCAAGGTGGGTAGAGCACCTTGAATAGGACTAGGAGTTTGAGACCAGACGGGCCAACATGGTGAAACCCCCCATCTCTACTAAAAATACAAAAATTAACTGAGGGTGGTGGCTGGCGCCTGTAGTCTCAGCTACTCAGGAGGCTGAGGGAGGAGAATCGCTTGAACCCGAGAGACAGAGGTTGTAGTAAGCCAAGATCGTGCAACTGCACTCCATCCAGCCTGGGTGACAGAATGAGACTGTCTCCAAAAAAAAAAAAAAAAAAAAAAAAAAAAAAAAAAAAAAAAAAATTACCCAGCCATAAAAAAAACTACCTGTGACAATTACTAAACTCGGTCTGGAAAACAAAATAGTACATGAGAATTTTTAACAAATGGAATATACGTAGATATTAATTTTTTTCTGAAACTCACCTCTTCTATACCATTTGTAAATATTTTCTTACTTTTTAATTTCCTCTACAAATGTTTCACTATTTGTCTTTCACTCTTTTTTCATCATTTTTTTTCACTATTTTTCTGCCCCCTTAGAGAATCCCAAAGGCTGAAATTATTTCTATGTTTTTCCCTTAATACCAGCATCTGATTGACCAGCAATGTGTCCCAAAGAAACAGAAGCTGAGTTGGGTGAAGACAATCGTAATGTCTCAAGGGGTCAGCTTTTCCAAGGAAGTGTACACCAGGAGATTTCTCTCAGCCCCAGGGCGTCCACCTGCTCCCTGGAGAGGCTACACTTTGTACCTCAGGCAGTCCTACGGGAGAAAATGACCCACCAGCTGATATTCATTAGGCACTCCGGCAGACATAGCCACAGTGGGTATTATGGTTTATCCCCAGACAGTACTGAAACCCAGGACAAGGAAAAATCTGAAGGGTGGCCGAGGACACATCACCCCATAAAGTTTCCAAAGGGAAACCCTGACCCCCCAAAATTCTGATAAGATCTCTGTGACTAGGGAAGATAAAAGGAAAAGAGGCACAGAGATTTTTTACAGTAGTGTCCGGGGATTACTCTTTGCTTTCTTCTTATAGAAAATTTTTACAAACAGAAAACAAACCTTTTAAAAAGTATCATCCAATGATTTCTCAAACAATGATTAATTAAAATACAGTACCAAAAATGTACACTAGGGCCGGGCGCGGTGGCTGACGCCTGTAATCCCAACACTTTGGGAGGACGAAGCGGGCGGATCACGAGGTCAGGAGATTGAGACCATCCTGGCTAACACGGTGAAACCTCGTCTCTACTAAAAAAAATACAAAAAACTGGCCGGGCGTGGTGGCGGGCGCCTGCAGTCCCAACTACTCGGGAGGCTAAGGCAGGAAATGGCGTGAACCTGGGAGGCGGAGTTTGCAGTGAGCCGAGATCGCGCCACTGCACTCTAGCCTGGGCGACAGAGTGAGACTCCACCTCAAAAAAAAAAAAAAAAATCTAACTCAAATACATTTTTTTTTGTAAATTGTTACATTGGGGGAAATAAAATTTATGCTTAACCAACTGTAAACTGCCAAGTACCCTCCGATTACATAACCAGAAAATTTCCACCTTGATCTTACAAATTAAGCAGCTATGTAACTGTACCTAACCGATTATTGAATTTGGTTTTATTTATCACATACCACTTAAAAGTCTTTCCTTCAAGCCCCTCCCATGGACCACAAATTACAAATCATAGCTGGGTGCTCTACGATTTTTGAACCACTCTTCTATTACATTTTTAAATATTTTTGCGGTGACTTCCATGAATTTTTAATAGAAAAAAGGAGGGACTGGGACTCCACGGACCAAAGCTCTTCCCATTCATGAACCCGGTACTGCGAGTTATCAGGCAGAGATGCGGCACTGCGGCTGCAGAGCTGCCCAGCGAGGGCTCCAGGCCAAGGCACAGTCACTGCACAGGGAGGAGACAGGACGCCCGGGGTCCGGCTGTCAGCCCAGCCGCCATCTTATGGCTGAAGGGGACCGAGGGCCGAGCTGCGCCAAGGACAACTAGGGCCGCGGATTTTGGAGCCCAGTGCTGGGAGGCTGGAGTCCTGCCACAGTCACTTCCGACCGGTTCCAACCAGCCCCTCCCCCTCTCTCTGGGTGTCGGACCCGGCACTCTCACCATTTCTAGGCTTCCAGGTGGTCCTGGCATCTTAGCTGTGCATCTCCCAATACCTGCAGGTAACGGGGCCACAGAGCCTGGGCCTCTAGGAGCAGAAGACACAGAGCAGTGAAGACTAGACCTGGAGCTCCCGCCGCAGCTAGAGACAAAGGCCCCGCCAAATCCCGGAAGCCGTCCTGTCCGCTCCAGCTGCGTGCCTGATTGGACGGGTCCCATTCCAGCGTCCCTGATTGGATAATGTTTAGGGCCCCACCCCCTAATGCCCTGAGTGACAGAATATGTGCTCAGCTGCTGGGCTGAACGAAGAAAGAGTGAAATTCAAGCTGCAGCGTTCTCATGCAGGGCTTCCTCCCTGAGTGGAGCCAGGCCCACCCCAGAGGGTATTTGCATATAACCTTGCGTATAAGGTCGTTTGCCTTTATAAATAATATATTATGTGGCTATTCACACATAAAAATAATGCAATAACAATTGTTTAAAATTTTCCAATTTTATGAGCTCCCTGGCTTCTTGTCCTTTGAGCGGGTAGCCTGACATTTTTTTAAAAAAGGCAATCCTCTGAAATTGAATGTGAGCCACATGTGAATTCTAAATTTTCTAGAAGGAAAATTTTAAAAAGAAAAAATAAACAGAAGGAATTCATTGTAGGAATTTAACCCAATATATCCAAAATATTATTTTAATATGTGACCAGTATGTAATTATTAATAAACTATATATATTTTGGGAAAAACATTAAAACTATGTATTTTACCTTTCTTACCACATCGTAGTTCGGACCAGCCACATTCCATGCACCCAGAAGCCACACGTGGCCAATAGCTGCCACATTGAAGTGCAGCTCTGACAGCAGAAGATGAAATCCTGAACATCCCTTTGCTGTTTTCTTTTCTTTTTATTTCCTTTCTCTTCTCTTTTTTTCTTTCTTTTCCTTTCTCTTCTCTTCTTTTCTTTTCAGAGTCTCGCTCTTAGGCCCAGGCTGGAGTGCAGTGGTGCAATCTCAGCTCACTGCAATCTCCACCTTCTGAATTCAAGCGATTCTCCTGCCTCATCCTCCCCGGAATAGCTGTGATTACAGGCATGTGCCACCATGCCTGGCTTATTTTTGTATTTTTAGTAGAGATGGAATTTTCCCTTGTCAGCCAGGCTGAACCCCTGACCTTAAGTAATCCTTCTGTCTCAGCCTCCCAAAGTGCTGGGATTACAGGCATGAGCCACCACACCAGGATTGAACATCCTTTTCCTGCCATAAATAAGGAGAAAGTCTCTCCCTACCAACATCTCTCTTCAGTTCCAAGGGTAGAACAGATAGTGGCCATAGAAAGAGCAGAGGACGGCAGGAATAAAATCACAACAGGAAGACCACCTGTT